TTACTATTCTGACCCCTTCAGAGTCAGAATCGGCGAATAACATTTGCAACACATCCTCACGGTACAACTTTCTATTAGCCATTTGGCGATTTTCTCTCACAAATCTCACAATTTACTTGCACGCTCTGAACTGAACTGCTTCCGCATCAATGACACGATCGCTCACTTGCTCTGCTCTTTCCTCGAACACTTTGAATAGGAACGTGACGTAATTTTGGTCTAATTAAAAGATAAATTAAATTAATGTGTTATGCCTTCATTCGATAACCAGAAAAATTAAAATACACAACGCAGAATTTCTAAAGAAAAAAAAAATTTCATAAGGCTATAAATAAAAGTAGTTTTTATGCATTCAAATAATTAAGACATATTAAAACACAGAATTTTGGTAACAATAAACAAGGTGGAAATTTTTTTTTCAGAAAGAACATTTCATAAAACTCTAAACGTCATTTTTGTTAAACTTTTTAATAGATTTGATGTTGAATTGTATATGTTTCATTATTTAATTAGACGTGCTTTTGATTAATAAAATTTAATTTAACCATTTAAAAAGGAGTCCAGAAAAATTGAAATGGAAAAAAAAAACTGAATCCAAAAAAATGTAAATTTGGAATAAAAAAATTGAATAAAAATGGAATTTGGGAAAAAATTAAACGTATTTCATAGGGCCCTAGCATAGTTATTTATTTATTGTGGTAATTTGAAGGTTGTGTCAAAAAGTTGTTGTTTTAGTCTAGTAGATAAATAGCTGTATTCTGTATGTTTTTACTCGTGTACGATAATTTTCTTCCAAATACGCTAATTTTGAGCTTCTGGTACGATACTTACCCCTACTGCCTCTATCTAAGCACGATTATTAGACGACTGATTGTCATTTCCAAAAGGCAAATATTACTATTCTGACCCCTTCAGAGTCAGAATCGGCGAATAACATTTGCAACACATCCTCACGGTACAACTTTCTATTAGCCATTTGGCGATTTTCTCTCACAAATCTCACAATTTACTTGCACGCTCTGAACTGAACTGCTTCCGCATCAATGACACGATCGCTCACTTGCTCTGCTCTTTCCTCGAACACTTTGAATAGGAACGTGACGTAATTTTGGTCTAGAATCGAAGTACTACATGTCTGCCATCTAGTGGTAGGGAATACAAATGAGACATTACACCATATTAGGAACTACAGTCTATTTGATTAAGCTTGTCGCAATTTTGCGACTTTGGCGCCTACGGTGATCTTAAATTTGATGGATATACTTAACAATAAGGTTCCATTAGTTAACATTAGTTAATGCATTAACTACCATTAGCTAACAATGAACAATGCTTTCGTTACAGTTATTATTATTACTCATTGTTAACAGTAGTTAATGAAAACACAACTGCTCATCGTTAGATCATATTAGCTCAGTTGCAATAAGCAATATTAAAAGGTAAAATGTTTGATTTATGTATTAGTAAATGTTAAAATTAACTTAAGATGAATAAATATGTTAAATGTTTGTCACTGTTCCAAAGTTTACATTTATTCATTTTGCAGATGCTTTTATCCAAAGCGTCGTTTATTCAAAGGTAATTAACTAAAAACAAATAGAACCTTATTGTAAAGTTTTACCAATTTAATTTTTAAATCTGCAGAGTCAGTATGTCCACTGCTACAGAATGATTACTTATTGAATTCCCATTGAAATGTTTTCCCCCGGTGTCACGGATGGTCGTGCCTACTTAAAAAGGGTTAATTCACCCAAAAATGAAATTTCAGTCATTAATCACTCACCCTCATGTTGTTCCAAACCCGTAAGTCCTTCGTTCATCTTCGGAACACAAATTAAGATATTTTTGATGAAATCCAAGACGATTCCCCCCTCCATAGACAGCAATGCAACAGACACTCTCAAGTCCCAGAAAGGTAGAAAAGACATCGTTAAAATAGTCCATGTGACAGTGGTTCAATCTTCATTTTATGAAGCGACGAGAATACTTCTGTGCACCAAAAGAACAAAAATAACAACTATATTTAACAATGTATTCCCTTCCATTTCAGTCCCTGGCAGCGTGGTGGTATTCTCGTTCACAAGAGCACATTGTTGAATTTAGTGACTGCCGATTGAGTCATACAAAATGTGATTATCTGCCAATACTGATCTGCAGCCAATTGGTCAGACCATCCCTGTTTGTAATGTTAATGAACTTGTATATTTTGTTTTTGCAGAGGCTCTTAAGAACAACCCCCTGACGTCAAAGGTCAACCAGCAAGAAGCTGAGAGGGCACTGTCAAATGTTCATTTTGAGCAAGAGACAGAGGTGGACAGAGGGCCTCAAGAATGCACCAAAAGATGGCTGCAGTTTAAGGTTTACTGAAAAGGTTATAAGGTTATAAGCTGCTGCTTCTTTTTTTTTTGTTTTGACTGTTGTATTCCTACATTTATTTTTAAAGTGAGCTAAAGCTTCCCAAAACACTCAAGGCTGGTTGTAAAAGTTTCGTGCCATTGTGGCATAAACATGACATATAATGTTGTTTAGTTAAATAAAATTGAAATGTGAAAGGATTTCAGTCTCACTTTTCTCTCTACTGCTTTCTGCCATGGTAATTGTTTTGCTATTTTATTTGTGTGGTGTTGCTGTACAGTTTTGCCAACAATCCCACTTACAACCCTTGTTTCAAGCCCATGTAGTGCCCACATAAAACTTAAAGCTGGGTCCTGCACATGTTGCCTAGTTGGGGCCCACCTAGTGGCAAGTGCAATACTGCATGAAATTCATGTGGGCAATTAACATTGGGGCCATTATGGAACCCGTGGACAGTCCCATATAAAGCCCATTTCAAAACCACAGGGGCCCAGTGTTAATATTTACAGCAAATTTTGATTTAGTTTTAGTCATAGTCTTTTGACTAAAATGCCATTTAGTTTTAGTCCTATTTTAGTCATCTGAATTGTTTTATAGAATAGTCTAGTTTTAGTCTACTAAATATCATACGATTTTAGTCGACTAAATCTACAGTAAATTTAGTCAGCTAAAATCTAATGGGTTTAGTTACAGTGTAATGCATTTATTAAGCATTTCTCTAAAATGTCCAAACTCATTATATAGGTTTGATATTAAGGTTTTATCACCGATTTAACTGCGGTGACACACAACATGCCTTTATGTTAAAATTAAATAAAAGAACGTCTCATAAAGAACAAGAACATGGTCTTCTTTTTAATGAAACACCAGTGGTTATATAGGCTAATTATGCATTCTTTATAGCAGCTTGTTTACCATATTCTTCATTCTTTCAAGCAGACATATTTATTTCGATAAATAAATTTAGATGAATCTTTAGGGCTACTAAAGTTGTTCAGTCAAGAGCAGTGCGTGATTTTCTGTCTTTCTGTTGTTGCTTGATTAACATCAATGACTCGGACAATAGCGACTAAATTAGGCTGCTGTCCCTTTAAAACGAGATGCACGGATGCAATGTACTGATACACGTTCTCCCTACTGTTTAAATGTTTTAACAAGTCGACCACTGAATAAATCTATACAATACCAGTGGGATAATATAAGGTTTATTCAACAAACTCTCTTATGATGGAATGTTTCTCTGTTTCTGTCTCCTTTTCCTTAAAACCTAAACATTTGAGAGGGTAAAAAGAGCAGGAATCAGGCTTAAATGTGATGAGGGCAATAGCTTAATAGGACTAACATGGGTAGAGGAAGTAAGACCAGACAGAGTAGTGGTATGCTCTGACTCTGCTTCTGTTTTAACATCATTGATTACTCGGCAATCTTCTAGAGAAGATTTGATGTGTGAAATATTTACATTATTATGGCGTATACAAAGAAAAGGAGTGGTAGTTGGATTCTGCTGGGTGCCAGCACATGTGGGAATAGCTGGTAATGAATCTGCTGATGAATTAGCAAAAAATGCTTTAAAAAGAGAAGTACTAGATTTTAATGTTCCTTTAAGTAAACGTGAAATTAAAACTATCATTAAGGAAAATATTATTAAAGAATGGCAGGACATATGGAATACAGGTAATAAGGGAAGGCATTTATATAATATAAAAAAAATGGTTAATACTAAAAGAAGTGTAAGTGGTAGAAATAGAAAAGAAGAGGTTATTATAACTAGGATGAGACTTGGACACTCGGGATTGAACGCTTCACTGTTCATAACTGGAATACATGAGACTGGTCTATGTGGGAATTGTGGGGAGAAAGAAACAGTGGAGCATGTAATATATAATTGTACAAGGTATGATGAAGAAAGAAAGGAATTAATATCATATTTAAACAAAAAAGGTAAGGTAAATAAGGATTTGGAATACTTATTAGGATATGAGTTTAACAGTGATAGAGAAGGATACAGGATATGAATAAAATACATATATACTACTGGGTTAAGTGAAAGGATTTAAATATAGAATGCGGATGCTCTATTCTATTCT